TTTGGTAGTAATTTACTTCTTTTGTCACATCCCTTAAATGCTTTAATCTATTTGTAAAAACTTTCTATTTTCTGTTTAAGAGAAGGTCAACTGCTTTTACTTCACTACTCTAACATAATCATGAATAGAAATAAGAACTCTTAGCTCTTTGCACTGACAAAGCTACCAGTATGCTTCAGCCAATAAAGCAATTCGTTCATTAATGCTGCTGATAAAGCAACCTTTTGTTAGCCCCTGAAACATCAGAAACCTCATAGACTCTAACTTTGCAATTTTTCCATTTTGGCCATATGAACTTAGTTTTTTTGCATGCCATTTAACAACTAAAACATTATCATTAAAAAATTCAACCTTATACTCTAAGTAATTTAATAACATACTCCAACTGCAGAAAGTTTTTCCTAGATAAAGCTACTTGTACTTTAATTATTCTCCTTTGTTTTCCCATTGAGTCAATCTGTACAGAGATCTGTGCCATCTTCTATTAAGCAACTAAAGAAACAACTCTTATAATAGTCTCAAAATGAAAAGCATAAATGTTCATTTATCCAATCAGCACTGATCAATCAAATACAGCAAGCAAGGCTTGGAAGATATTGTAAATATTAATATACAATTTTAGTCCTCAAGCAATTTAATTCAGCAAGTAAGACAGGCATCTAGAAAAACTGCTGTAATATAGCTGATAATACTGTTAAATATAATAGTATGAAAGATTTAATTGAGCTTAGAGAGGATTTTTTTTTAAACCTCCCATGAGGAGACATTTGAGACTGAATAAAGGGTAATGTATTTTAGGTTAAGTGAACAGTAAATATACAAAAACAGCTAGGGCAAACACAATGGTAAATTCAGAAAAATTTTAATTAAATGAGGCTAGAATGTAACATGCATATAAAAAATTAAGAAATAAATGTCTGCCGGTTCATGAAAACCCATACTTGTACTGTGCTAGAACTTGGACTTTATTCCTAGCAATGAGAAGTTACTAAAAAAGTATCAAAAGTGATGTGGTACTCAGGTGTGTTTTTTAGAAAGATCACTCCTGAACTACTGTAATACCCCAAAAGCCCCTATTTTCAGTAACTTCAGAAAACTCAAGAGTACAAGAATGCTAGGTTTCCAAACATGATTCATACTTCGTATAACTATATATTATATATTGCTAACATAAATTTAGCATTTTAAACACTAGATGCTCCTCAAAGAGAAAAGGTAAGACATGAAATAATAGTTCCAATATTAATCAAGAGAGTTAAAAGCACTTCAAAGTACTAGGAAAACACCAATTTCCACCAATTTCCATGAATATTATAAAGTCACGAATTTGCTGATTTAAGATTTGCAGTAAAATTCAACAGATGCACTTAGAATTTATAAAATTTAATCATAAAATTTAACTCACTGCAATCTCTGCTGTGAACATCCATGGTACCACTTACTGTGTGTCTGGCACCCTGGTATTCTTCCAAGTGCTATCTCTTAGTCTACAATCCCCAGGCCCTCTGATACTGAGTAAACAAATAAATGGTGATTGTGATAAAAACTATCAAAGGACATATCAAGGACACTTAATCCTACTGAGTGTTCTAAGTCAAGAAACACTTTTGCTTGTGGAAGTGACCTTTAGACTGACGGTTAAAAAATACTTAACAGTGCAGAAGGACTCAGGATAGTTGTTAGGAAAAAGGGAGAATGGAATCAGTGTGGTTCACAAGAAGAGGGAATTACTCTGAGGATGTGTATGAAGCTGATGGTGAGAGCATGAGTGCTGTTTGTTTGTTCATAACTTTCTGATTAAAAACCAGCCCTTTATTTGGAAGGTTTCTAACATAGGCACAAAGAATAAATGCCTGGACACCAGCTACTCAACTTCTGCAGCCATCAACATTCCACTCATTCTCGTTTCATCCATGCCTCCCATTCCTGCCACCCAACTCCATTACTTTTTCTAATTTTAGATAAAATTTACAAACCTTGAAATACACTCTTTTTAAAAACATAACTTTAACAGTAGATAAAGTCATGGAAGCCACAACTCTGTCAAACACTGAACACTTCCACCACATCAGGAAACTCTTCCACAGCTCTCCCCACTCCACAGCAGCTTCTTCCCCACCGAAAGGCAATCTCTGCTCATTATTTTTTTCATGCTGTCCTAGAACTTACAATAAATGAAGTCATAGGACTGTGTCCAGTTCCTTTTGTGAGAATGTCTGTGAAATTTATCTGTGTCATTCTGGTACATCAGTAGTTCTTTTTAATTACTAAATAGCATTCCACTGTATGACTATACCAAAGATCTCTTACCCATTAGGCTAATGGTTAACATTTAAGTTACTTCCAGATACTGGCCATTAAGAATAAATCTACTATAAACAGTCATTTAAAAAGTTTTTTGTGGACATATACTCTCATTTCCCTTGGGAAACCACCTAAAGTAGAACTGCTACATTCAAAGGTAAGAGTAAGCTTAAATTTATATGAAATTCACAGAGGTTTTCCTGAGTTGCTCTACCATTTGATACACCAGCAATTTATAGAGTTCTGAATATTTTCCTGGAAAATTTGTTGTAAGCAACCTTTTAATTTTAGTCTTTCTGGTTGATTTTAGTGATTATCTCAGAGTTTCAATTTGTATTTCCCTAACGACTAGTGTTCGTACATATTTAAAATTGGGTAATTTTTTAAAATAAAGGTAAGGTGCATAGACATAGGGCATAACAAAAACAAATACTCTGAAGGAAAACAACATTACATATGGGCCAAGAGGAACCATTACAATATCAAAAAAAGAGAGAAAGAGAGAGAGAGTAGCACAAGGTAAGACTAAGGTAAACTAACGGTAGACTAACGTAGACTAACGGTAGACTAAGGGCCAAATCACACAGAGCAGCACCATATGCAGTTCAGATTTACATTCATTTTGTATAAAATACCTTTGAGAGAGCTATATGAAGTCATAAAATAGGTCTAGAAATTAGTGAAGGTGAGTGTTAGAGCAACAGAAATGTAAGCTTCAGAACTGCAAATCAAAGAGGTAAGAATGTTTGAGGAGGGAAAAAAAAGAAATGAGAAAAGTAGCCTAAGACCAAGACTTAAGAAATTTCAATTTCAAATGACTGAGCGGAAGAAAAGTCAGAGAAGGAAAAAAAAAAACTCAAAGAATAATAGAGAGGCAGGATGAAAACTAAAGGATTTAAAGGAAATGTTTTCAACAATATTAAAACCTGCTAAGTGGTTGTTACGCATCTAACTGAACTGTTCTCTCCCAAATATCTTGGAACTTGATTGAACTTGAAGACCAAGCCATCAGCTCTGTTCTAATTTAATCTCAATGGTATCTTTATAAAAAGAGGAAATCCTGATAGAAAGGGTTACCCTGTAGCATACATACTAAGGGAAGAATCTACGAGGAACAGAAAGAAGGCTTGTGAAGAAATCAAACCCACCAAAACCTAGATCTGGAACTTCTGGATTCCAGAACTGTGAGAAAATGATTTTTTGTTTTTTAAGCCGCTTAGTCTGAGATGTTTTATGGCAGACCTAGCACACTAATAGGTAAAATCAGAGTAAGTCTAAAAATATCTACTTAATGTTACTGATACAAGTCATTGGCCCACTGTCACCATTCTTGTCCAATACAGTACCCAAAAATTTAGCCAGAGCAACCGAACAAGAGAAAGAAATAAGAGATGCATATAGAAAAGGAATGTCAAACTACCCTTATTCACAGACAACATGTATGTACAAAGACCCTTAGACTCTGAATAACCACACTCGGTAATGCAGCAGGATATAAAAATCAACACACATAAGTCAACAGCATTTCTATGTATCAACAATGAACATGCTGAACATGAAAACAATACCATTCACAAGTTTCAAAGAGAATTAATTAGCTAACTAGCTAGATATTAACCAAGAAAGTGAAAGACCTCTGCAATGAAAAAAAATGTTTTTGGTACCAGGGATCAAACTCAGGACCTTGCATTTATGAGGCAAATGGAATCATATCAAATTAAAAAGCTTCCACACAGCAAAGGAAACAACTAAAAAAATGAAGAGATAACCTACTGAATGGGGAAAAAAAACTGCCAGAGGACTAATACCTAGAATATATAGAGAACTAAAAGAAAATTAGGGCCCCTCCTCCAAATACAAAATTAAATCAAAAAATGAACAACTGAATTGAGTAGATATTTCTCAAAAGTATATGTTCAACATATTTGGCCATTAGAGAAGTGCATATTAAAACTACATGGACATTCCAAGTTTTTCCAGAAAGACAAGCTATCATCAAAACAAACAAAAATAACAAATGCTGGCAAGGCTACATGGTGGAAGGGGTACCTCCTACATTATTAGTAGGTGTGTGCAACTATGGAAATCAGTATGGAGAATCCTCACAAAACTAAACTAAGAAAGAAATTCCATTCAACCCAGGTATTCTCCTTCTAGGCATCTTCCCAAAAGAGTTAAAGACATTACATTATAATAATACATGCACACCCATGTTTATAGTGTCACAGCCAGCAATAGCTAAACTAGGAAGTACCCACCAACAGATAAACGGGTGATGAAACTGTGGTTTTTATATGCAATGGAAAACTACTCAGCCTTAAAAAAGGATACACCCTGAGAACATAACAGTAAAATAAATCAGACATATCACATGATATATGAGAAACAAAAAGTATAAGCCCTTAAAGTTCATATCTTCTTTCCTCCACTACACAAACTTAAAGCCAAGACCCAAGAAGGGCTGCAATTTTAGTAAAGGCATCCTAGACAAGAAAAATAAAAAGGCACAGGCATGGAAGCAACAAAAACAAATATTACTCATTGATTATGATTATGTGCATAGGACCCAAAAGAATCTACCTTTAGAATTAAGAGTTAAGCAAGGTTGCTGTGCACAAATATCAATGTGTTTCTCATGCTAACAGTTTATAACCAATAATTACAAAATGTATTTTTATAAAAATTTCCTGTTCACAACAGTAACAGGAACTCCAAAGATGACTTCTGTGAAGACATAAGAGACTATCTAGAAATAACAGCCATCCAATATAAAGATGACAAGACCCCACTGTAAACTATAAATTCAATGAGATTCCAATCACAATCCCAGCAGAAATTAGAATCTCATTTATGTGTGCTTTTCTCTGGATGAAGGGTAAGATCTGACATGCTGCCCTGAAAGTTTCACTGAAAGAGAATTTACCTTACTAGATAAGCAAGACCGGGCAAAACAGCTATAGTTAACATAGCATGACAGTAACATGATGTAGACAAACCAAGTAAGGCTATGGCACAGAATAGAGTCTACAAATACACTCTTGCAGTAAGTTTAAAACTTTTGAAATAAAGTTTAAAACAGCAACACACAGACTAGCAAAGACATTTGTAGTGCATATTCCCCCAAAAGGTCAGGTAGTGACTACTGCAAATTATAAGAAAAAAAATTGCCATGATCAAAATAAAAGCCAAAATCCAACAGAAAAAAAAGAAAAGTAAAGGACAGGGAGAAGATGCACTAAATAAGAAACCACAACAATCAAAAACCATGCAAATATGTTAAACTTTACTAGAAACCAAAGTAATAAAAACAAAACTTACGAAACACCGTTTCTCATCTTTCAGAGAGGCAACAACCAATGTCTCAATAAAATCATGTGCTCAGAAAGATGTACAGAAACACCAGTGGGCATTAAGGCATGCTTCCACTGTGGACTACCTAAGCAGTATCTGATAAAGATGAAGGGCAACCTAGACCCTATGATATAACAATCCTACTTTCAGATGTCTATCCTAAACCAAAGTACACACTGACTACTTATGTACAAGCATTACCACACTATCTGCCAAAAGTCAGAAATTAATTATCTCTCAACATGCAACTGATCTTTACTTAAGAAGGAAAAGTAAACAAGTTATAAGAAATAAGCTAAACCTACATGGGTGAATATGAATACATCTAGAAACAAGGTGGTATAAATTTTTTTCAGGTTATCTGTAAATGGTTTACAACATAGAAAAACAACAGCAGAATAGCCGCAAGGAATCTAGGATACTGGGTTCCTCTCAAGGAGGGAAGAAGCTGGGACAGGAGGGAAAAAGAGAAAAGCAAATGAGGCAAAGGTTAGCATCTATATGATTTTTATTTGGATACAAACATTACTTTTTGTATTTCTGCATGTTTTAATAATTTCATTTTTATATAAAATTTTAAAGACACTGAAAATAGTAAGCTTGCTAATAGAACAGCAAGTCCAGCAGGTACGATGGAAGGAACTAGGAAGCACAGGAGAAAAATAGAAGGTTGTCATCAAGGAAAAAAAAAAAAAATTTATACAACAGGAGCTCAAGTTGAGTAGTCAAGGACAAAGAAATTCAAAATGCACCAACACTGGTGTACTTGGTAGAAAAAATGGTAGCAAAAATATGTAGACTTCTAACAAGCAAAAACTGTCAAGTACTTCACACTATTTGAATCTTACTAGAAAAATAAAATACTCTGAACAATAGAACCCCTAACATTCAAATTTCCCCAATGCTGGAAAACTATATGAAATAAGCTTACGACACAGACCAAGTCTTGGCTATCTGAAAATGTGCACATTAATTTCAAATTCCAAACAAGATTTTCAAGCATGACAGATTATAGCTAAGACTTGTACAAACAAAACCTTCACTGTTCTTCACAGAAAGTGAGAATCAGAATGGCATCATTTATTGAACAAGCTCTAAAATCAGAAACTCTGAATGATGGCCCTTCCTTTCTGTTTTCTTCTATAACCTGCTGACTAAACTGCAAAGGTGCACAGTAATGAAACAAAGTGGAAGAGATTTTTTTTAACGTGTAAACACATAAAACATATCTAAAGAGACAATTTAAGTCTAGAAATGGTGTGAAGGAATACAACTCACTGTGATGACAGTTCAAGTCAGGTTTTTACTTGTGGGTCCTAAATTTGTTTATACTTTTATCAGGTAGGACCTCAATGCACTGCCCATCTACCTCAGATCCAGAATCATTTAGCCACAGGCAAAAAGAATTCAAAGCAGTGAATCTATGACATCATGCCTACCGTGCTACTGTATGGAAATAATACTCACTTTTTTAATGGAAGTTAATAGCCACATTGGAACCCCATCACCCCTTCCTCAAATGTAAAGACCACACACACACAAAGTTTCAGGGTAAGTATGTATTTCCTCCCACCTACAGACAACAGCAGTCATACTGCTTTTCACAGAAGCTGGCACTGCCCACAAAGTATTTCTTACGTCCTTGGTGAATTAAGTCTCTTCTGGACCTCTTGATAGAGAATACTGGAGAAGAAATGGGAAGGGTGGGTGAATGGTCAATCACAGTGATAAATCCACTATCAATCCTATTTCCCTTAACATTTTCCCTTTATAACACCACAAGGTTTTAGGCATTTAACTTTATTTAACACACCAATACTGAGATCAATCAAAAGAGCAAAGAATTAGAAGCACTCCTGACTACTTGAGCTAGAATATTATTATCAATATATTAATATATTCAGCCAGGGTACTAATAGTCTGTCTCCCATCTCCAATCCTTTCACTGTCAGAACCGATTTCTATGCAAATCCCTCAAGTTGTTGCTGCTATGTTAGCAACAATCTTCTTGTAAGATTATAATCCTCTCCTTCCCCATTTTGCTATGAAAAGGTATAGCATGAAGTAATCTGCCTTCAGTTATAAGACCCCCCGCCCCTGCATACTAACTGTTCTAAGCAAGGCTGTTACAGGTCTTCAAAGAAGACAGGAAAGCTAACTTCTGCCACTGAGAGACACTCAAGGAGCTCAGATCTGTAGTATTATGTATCCCTAATTCACCATATAAAGAAATTTATTCTAAAGATTATTAGTAACCAAAAGTACAGCCCATCCAATTTAAAAGTATTTATGTACTGCCATTCTATTTCTCCAGTTAGATGATATAACTGTTTATTTCTTACCATGCACTTTGTTAGAATTAACCATAACTTCTACACAGTAAGATTAGACAGTATAATGGTACTCAAATTTGAGAGCAACTCAATTTGTGCCTCTAGAGGGCAGCATTTCTCACAGATAGACAAGTGAATGAAAATTTCATTATCTAAATTTAATGGATTAAAAATTTTTAGTAAATTTGTTTCTTGTAAGATGTCTCTGAACCTTCAATATGTTAATGTGTGTTCCGTTACTGTATTACTGTGTAGTATAATAATGGACTATTTTAATCCTTAATAGTTTATTATAATAATTGTATTTCTTCTACTTATTTAATCACAGAGCCTTTCTTCATGGACCATCTCTAGTGACTATTCCACAAAATGCACTTTGGAAACAAACTAGTAGGTAAATTCTCTCAAGACGTTTCTCTCAGCTCTTTATAAATAGATCATACTCCTCAGATTTTTCAAATAGGTTGTTGTTTTTGCTTTGTTCCTCTTTTTGTAGTACTGAGGATCAAACCTAGGGGCAATCCCCACCATTTTTATCTTTTATTTTGAGACAGGATCTCAGTAAGTTGTCCAGGTGAGAGACTCCTGCCTCAGCATGCAGGGCTACTGTACATCTCTATGTCTGACTAATATGTAGGTGATTTTTTAAATTTCAAAATAACTTTTTTATCTTTTATATCTGTCAAGTAATTTCAATTAGATATTTTTAAAAGTTTATCATAACAGTTCCCACTATGCTAGGAATTTTTAAAGAAACTGGTGTCTTTACTGTTTTATTCCACTCTTATGGATACACACGGAAAATACTGCATTCAGCTTTCGGAAGCAGCCTACAAAAAGCACCATGGATAGTTGTTTAAAATTGCTCAGCACAGCAGGACGTGGTGTGGCACACCTGTAATCCCTGCACTCAGGAGGCAGACGCAGGAGGACTGCTGAGTTTGAGGCCAAACTAAGGTCTGGCCTTTGAGGTCTGGCTAAACAACATAGCAAGACCTTGTTTCCAAAACTGAGAAAGAAAAAAGCATTGCTCAGTGCATGCATGCCAATAATATTAATCCTAGCCAATTTATGGAAATGTTGAAAAAAATTAGAAATCAATACAAACACCCTGTACTCTTTGTTCACTAACTAGAATTCCACAAAACTTGTTAACTCTGATTCAAGAAATGCTTTTCAATATTCAATAAAACACAAAAATGGTTATATTATGTTTTCTCACTTATACCTTGTATATGAATAAGCATAATTTGAAGCTTCAAAGAAAGGTAAAATTTATTTGTGACCTGGCTTCACAAATATAGGAATTTATGCTGAAATATAACGTTTTCATAATATATGTCAATGATTTTATACTTTTTTTCTACCATGAACTTATATGTATATATTTTAATTATAATTGAGGGTTATACAAATTAGCTGTGAAAATGACAAGAAACAGTTGAAGAACACTTTACTGATACTAACAAATTTGGAGTTGTTTTCAGCTTCTACAGTATCATTTTTAATTTGAAGTTAGTAATCACAAGTTAACACGAAAGTGTATTTGCTTGAGTAGGGCAGTTTTGAAACTGATAAGCTTCTGCTTCAAAGCCTAATGAGGTCTACTAAAAAATATGAATCAGTTTTACTGATTTGGATGCACATATTAAAGGGAAAAAATTGTGGATTCTCAATTCAGATACTAAAAAGCATGTGAGCCTGACATAATTTAGGTATGTGAATCTACTTTTTCAACCCTAAATCTTAATCTAAATAAAGCTCCAGTATTTCTGATGGAAATTTAGTACCCAAACTGAGATGTAAAATATCTCCCAGCTTTTGAAGATTTGGTACCAAACAGGACTCTAAGATATCAATATTTTTATACAGATTCTACGTTGAAATGGTAATATCTTAGACCAAGTTCAATAAAACATAATTAACTTTCTTTTTTATGTTCTTTGATGAGGTTAAAAATTTTTAAATAACATTTGTGGCTCAATCTAGTAAAATGTTTAGACAAGATAAATTAAAAATGAACAAAATTGTATTCTTGCAATAATATATTATTCCTTTAAAGCTTATAATCAACTGTGTAAGTTCTCACTAAAAGACTCACTACATTCCACAACATATAGTGCACAAATCTCAGCACCAGAATATCAATAAGTACAGCATCTCAGTTCTCAGCATTTGTATTTGGATGGATGAAAATACACACAAAAGAGAGGCAAACTTCAGTATTACCATAGCTTAAGTAGCCTTGTATAAAAACTGTAACAGATGAAACCTAGGTATATGCCCAAAGGAATTGAAAAGATACCTGTGTGACAACGTGAACTTCAGCATTATTCATAGTATTTGGAAAGTGGTAATTAACCAAGTACTCATCAACAAATGAATAGATAAACAAAATGTGATCAGTGCATACAATGGAATGTTATGCAGCCTTAAACAGAATGAAGTTCGGATACCTGCTATAATACAAATGAACCGTGAAAAATTACATAAGGTCAGACACAGAAGGATATGTACTACATAAATCAATTTACATGAAATATGTAGACCAGATAAATTCATAAGAAGCAAACTAGAGGTTACCACCAGGTGGGAGGACGAATGGAAGCTTTGGAAAGAGGGGTGATAATTGCACAAAATAGTGAATTAATTAATGGCACTGAATTATATATTTAAAAGTGATTTAAACCAAACGCAGCAGCACATACCTATAATCCCAGCTGCCTTCTGAGTGAGGCAGAAGGGTCTTAAATTCAAGGCTAATGTGAGCAACTTAGTGACATCTGCCTCAAAATAAAAAAGGAAAATCTTTAAATTTAAAAATAAAAAGGACTGGGGAAGTAGCTTGGTGGTAGAGTTTCCCTGGGCTCAATCCCTAGTACTGCAAAATAAATAAACTGATTGACTGATTTAAATGGAACTTTTAAAAACTGTCTGTTGCAGTTTATGTCTAGACGTCTCCCCAAAGCCTCATGTAGTTATAGGTGGGGCTTTTCAGAGGTAGTAGGATCTAGAGTGTGTGATGCTGGGATTAAATGTGTGATGCTGGGATCAAGGGTGTGTGCTTACTAAATTAGTCCAGTAATTGGTTTGGCATAGTTCTGGGGGTAGATAATGGCAAGGCCCAACCTGAGTGTGAGTGACACTAACCTTAAGGTGTGTAGCCTGGACAGAATATAAAAGACCGACAAAGGGCTGCTGTGGGCGCTGCTTGGTGCTTGCTGCTGCTTTTGCTGCCTTTTGCCTACCATGAACTGTTTCTCTTCTCTGATGCTCCTCTGCCATGCTACCCTGCCTTGAAGCCAGCTATGAACTAAAACCTCTACAAAGCATGAGCCGAAATAAATCTTTCCTCCTTAATTTTGAATGGTAGGTATTTTGTCTTAGCAATGAGAAAAGTAAAAAACACACTATCTTCAATAAGAAATCTTAAAATGCTTTATTTGATAGTCCTTGGATATCTTTTGAGTTTAATCACAAAAAAATTACTAAGTAATTACTAAACGCAAAATAATGCACTGCACATCAACCACAAAACATGACCTGACAGATTAACATTTTTCAAAATCAGACTCAATCTTAAATGACCATGTGTCAGTCAACAAGCTATAAAATAAGTACAAATAAAAATGAGGAAAAAAAGGTTACAGAGCTTAATTAACAATCACGTTTCCTCAAAATATCTTAGTGCCCCTAAAAGCATATATGTGATGCTGCACAATTTACTCCCTACCTACACAATCTGAAACAATTTGTAAGAAATGAATATATCAGTGTTTCTCAAACTTTGACATAAATCAGGATCACCTGGAGGGCTGGTTAAAATAAACAGCTATGTCTGGGTGTATCCTGAGAAATCTGCATTTCCAACCAGTTTGAAGGTAAAGTTGATGCTACTAATGGTAGGGGACCATTACCTAAGAACCACTAATAAAATTTACAAATAAAATCAAGATATATTAATGGAAAGTATAAATGAATTCTGTAAAGCTAGTTTAAGAACAAGGTGTTCTAACACCTTACTCAGTTAAAAGCTCAAATATCCAGGAACTGATGGCTTAAAATAATGATCCATGACATTTCTCTTTTCTAACCAAACTGAGGTTACAATTTGTGATGGGGATTTAAAGTGTACTGTATATTAAAAACAAACACACTTTAGAAACCAAGTGAGCAGGAAATATTGAAGTATTCTGTAGATACTGTGAAGCTTACTCAAAAATGTATTCTGGATAAGTGGCCAAGCCACATCCCACATGGAAGTGAACTAAGGAAAGAACCTAAGATAAGTCAACATTTTTCTTAAGAAAACTTTGAGACCCAGAGATGGAAAGAAGTGGAGAGGGGAAGGGAATGGAAAAAGGTATTAAGAATTATTATGTACATGTACCAATTCCCTGTGATGAAAAAAAATTTTAAACAAAAATTCAAGATCACTAAATAAACAAAGACATAATCTAAACACTTCTATGCCCTATGGAAGGGCTATCCAATGTCCTATCTAAAATATTAATTCCACCTGTGCTGACACATACAGCAAGATGAAGAATGTAAATGTACAGTGGTCAATAATCGAGAGTCCATTTGTAATTGCTGTATCAATAGTCAGTACTCACACTCAGAATTGCTGTATCAACTGAGAGGCCCAGTTCTGCAAAACCTCCTGCTCCACAAGGTTAAAGGGTTTGTTCTGAGCTGCAGATCTTTTTAAGCAATGCAGCTGTGAGTTAAGATGAGTTCGCCTATGCCCCTTAAAGTACCAGGGATAGGAGAGTAACAGATTTTCCCAAGAACAGTCATTAATAGTATTCTCAACATTCGTGAAAGGGTGGCATATAAACAAAGATGTGCACTGCAGCATCCTTTCATATTTACAAAAAAAAAAAATGGAACAATCTAAACAGTAGTAACAGATCTCACAGTTTGGTAGAAGGGTTATAATTAATAAATGAGTTTATTGACACTTGTCAATAAACACTAAGTTACAAAGAGGATAATCTTCACTGCTGAATTCTACTCAGAACCAACAGAACTTTCATTCCCTAAAGAATTCACCTCACCATTCAGGTGACCTTGTATGAATCCATCTGTACTACTAAATATCTGGGAGTTCAACTGCCGATTCAAAGGCATATGCACTTTATTTTATAAATACTGTCAAACCACCTTCTAAAAAGGCTGCAGAAATATACTCAATACCTCAAAAGTAACACCACCACCCCCACTCAAATTCAAATACCTAGGTATTATCAACTGCTTTCATGTTTATGAAAGTTAACATTTTTTGCTTCACTTTGTTTTCACAGCAAGTTAAAAACAAAAAAAGGAAGGAAGGCAGGAAAGGTGAGAGTACTGAAGTCCCTCCAGCTATAAGACAAGCCTCATATGAGTCAAGGGCAAAATTAGATAACATACTAGGAGCCAAGTGACACTGACCCAAAGCAATTAAGGAAAATTCAAGACAATAATTGGAGGAGAAAAATTAGCCTGTTTTTCTGTGCTTAAAAGTATGAATTAAAGCTAGGCATGGTGGCACATTCCTAAGGTTCCAGTACTCGGGGGAGGCTAAGGCAGGAAGATCTTCAGCTGAAGGCCACCTTGGGCTGCCCAATGATATAGCAAGACTTTCTCTTAAAAACAAAAAACAAAAGTGTGGGCAATCAAACTGAAAGTGGCTCTCTGTTGCTCTCTTACGTTGCTTTTTGTTTTGACAAGGGGTTTTATTAGGTTGCCTGAGTTGTTCTCAAACTCCTAGGCATGAGCAATCCTCCTGCCTCAGCCTCCCAAGTAGCTAGGACTACAGACTTGTACCACCATGCCCAGTTATATATCTTCTGACAGCAAATTTCACTTTGGGAAAATTATTTCATACAAATATTGGCATACATGTGAAATGACGTGTATGTGCAAACATATTCACTGCACTACTATGTATAAGAGCAGAACTCCAAACAACCTAAATACCCAGCACTAGGGGACTAGTTCCAAAACTAGTGGCCTATCCAGCCCAATGGAATAAACAATACCTCTGTGGAAAAAATGGAAGTCCTCAATGTGCCAATATTAAAAGATCTCAGGGCCAGGGATTTAGCTCAGCAGCACAGCACCTGCCTGGCAAGTGTGAGGTCCTGAGTTCAATCCTCAGGGGAGATCTCAAAGACATACAGTGAAATAGCAAGTAGATTACTGGATGCCAGAAGATAGACATCAGGTTTCTCTTCTGGGTGGTGAAAATGTTCTAGAATTAGTGATAGTTGCACAAACTTTTAATACATACTAAAAACTATTAAACTGCATACTTCAAAAGGGTGAATTTTCAGGTATATAAATATCTATATATCTATATATATCATATATAGAGAAATAAATAGATA